GGTATAAAAGTGGGTCAAAATTGGGTTTGGGATTTGAGAATGGGTACAATTTAAGGAGGGTTATCCGTTTTTACTCCCTGAATTTATAACGACCATGTGACGGGACTGGGAATAGTTAATAAAACGTATTGATATTATAATAACAGTAATTTTAAATTATTTAAAGGATATGATAGCTGGATATTTCTTTAAATTCAACACTGTCCTAACTCCTAATACTATATCTATATCTATGCCTATACAAATTAAAAATAACTAAATTATAACTATAACTATAACTATAACTAGGTATATTATTACTATTATTATTATTATTTCTCTAATTGTATTAAACATTCACATGATTATACTCAAGTCCTATTTCTATGTCTTTTTCTATTAAACACCAACTACCAACAGTATCCTCTATTCATCGACATCCGTTCAAACCGACAACAAGACTCCTCACAATATATATATAAGGAGTAGTGGACAGGTTCCTTAGCAAAACTAACTAGTGTATAGTGCGTGGTGGGTATAAAGCGGGTAAGTGGGTTTATGTTTTGATGTGTATTGTGTATTTGTGTATAGTGTTACTGTGTGAAGTTTCTGGTAGTATAAAATAAGTTGCTGTATAACAATATTGGTAATTTAAATAAAAACAAATTAATCACAGCATAATATGCAATCATGGATTAGAATAATAATAAATTATTAATTTAAATATAGGGTGGATTCGGTCCAAAGATGAACCTTGCAATTATGTAAGTAGTATTTTACATTTTTACATTTTTGACCCAATAATTAATAAAATACGTAAATAACGATTAAAAGATAAACGCAATAGCGTTTTGGCTCTATAATATAGTGTTATATTAATGTAATAATAAATAATCGGCAATGATATAAAAATATTATAATGTGAATAATTAGATTAGACAGCTATTTGAGCTGCTGCAGCGTATTAATTAAGTTGAAGTTATAGGTAATGAGAACGTTTTTAACACTAGGTACCTATATAATTATATATTATAAAAATATTATATTATAATTATAAAAAAATTACAAACACAACAACATATTTTAAATAATACAAAAAAAAATTGCCGTAAAAAGTCAGATAATAGCGTGTGTACGTGAGGCCAGCCGGCGCGGCGATAGTCTGTTATGTGTTTGACAGGGAGCTGAAGACGTTATAGGCACGACATAATATGAAAATTAAATACAATAATAATTATTTTACTCATTACGAATAATGCGGAAGATATGCACCGAGGACAATTTTCGTTCTCATCTAAAACCAAATCACCGAAAACCTCTGGTTGCTGTATTATCCGTCACTTTCACAGGTCACTCTCTAAGCCAGAGGTCGGCAATTAGTTTCTGGGGGGGTCTGGCGGTTTTGAAAAAAAAAACTTTAAGTAAAATAGTTTTCGTGTCCATTTATTTCCCTTCGGTGGTCCCCCGCGGCCAAACCAGTTACCGACCATTGCTCTAATTATAAGTAGGTAGGTGCTATAGATTTACACTTATTAGATAAAGTAGCTAACACTTAGAGTCTTATATATTATTATATGCTACTACAAAAAAATACTAAACAAATATAATATTACAGTGGCGTAGACAGGAGTTTTTTTTGGGGGGGGGATGATCAACTTTTACACTTTTACACATTAAATACGTAATAGCATAGCTGATAGATAGCTGAAAAGTATTAATACCTACTTATAGTACATTTTTAAATATTTAAAATACCATTTAAGAGTTTTTGAGGGACTATCATACACCATTTAAATAATTTTTTTATTTTCTTAACATTTCGGGGGGGCTTCAGCCCCTTCGGCCCCTCCCCTGGATACACCACTGAAATATTATATATATGTATTTACAAAATACAGAAAATTGTCTTATAACTTACTTGGTTTATATCCTGTTTATGGGTACCATGTTTAATTTGGCTGAGTTTAAATAATTTCTTACTATCAAGTGGACTCATTAACTTTTCCATATTGTCCGCAATATCTATGAAACATCGAGGTACATGCAATACTATTTAGTATTAATTAGGATCCGTGTTTTGATAAATAATAGCTTTTGTTCATTTAAAATTGCATTCAATGATGTTGATTTGTGCACCTATATGTATATAAAACAGTGTAAAGGTTTAAATATTGAAAATAAAAAGAACAACTAATTTTCCACGGACTTAAAGAAAGTAAGGAAAGTTAAAAATAATTTTTGAAAAATTAAACAAATTACAAATTTAAACGGCAATCGAAAAAATTTAATATTATTCGCATGAAAGTTAAAACTGTAACGTATATAATTTAAATGTTTTTTTGAACGAAATTGAAATATAAACATTAATAAGAAATAAATAAATTGAATATTATGTTGGTTTCTTGTATCGGTTATATGGAAATTAATAACAGACATTATATTATTATATGGCCAGCATAGTATTTTTTTTACAATATAAAATATGAATAAATAATAATTATTTATAAACTCTTATATTATTTTGTTTGTAGCCAATTCACGATAAGAATTAGTATTAATAGTAGGTATAATAGCCTTACATTATAGGCAGGGCTGGTGAGTATAGTGATAAACATTTTCATGAAAATTTTATAAATTATCATATTAATTTCTTATCAAATATATCCTTCGATATTATATAGTTATAAGTTATAGTATATTAATTAACCTAAATAATTGTATTTAAACTGTATTACCATTTACACATTTTTATATTATATACCATTAAACAAACATAATAGGTATAGGAAATCCAAAATACAAATAAATTTATCTCGGCAACAAATGTATATTTTTATCTATATTATTAAAAAAAATTGTGATTTTACTTCTAGTATAAATGTTAGTTTTCCTACATTAATTGATTTTGCCATTTTTTGTAATTTATTGTTTGAGTTCTTTCCACAATTTACAAATATCCTTTCTTAGCGGACGCCTATACATCATAATAGCTATCTGTATGCCTAATTTCAGTCCGATCCGTCAAATGGTTTCAGCTGTGCGTTGATATAGCTCAGTCAGTCACTGCAGTCACGCCCACAGATGAGTGGCTCACTTGGTGCAAAATACCTACTTTTAGTGACAATATAAGCTGTGGGGAGCTTGTGCATCAAGTGTGGCCCGCATACAGAACAGCTACAGCACGATAGAATATGAATCGGATAGAAATCGCATGAACTCGACATACCTAGCGAAATCTCAGTGGTGTAAAAGCAGGCTATCAATATTACCTTTAAACTGATTATTTTTTACTTTATTTACAAAACTGAAAAATACATTAATATAGTAAATACTAAACACGATTTCGTGTCTAGAAATAACCAACCTGAACCCCCCCCCCCCTTAATCCGGTACAATGGTACAAACACTACCAACTACATAGGTAATGGTATAATAATAATGTGAGGTAGGTAACAGAAAAATGAACGAGATACGCATTATACTATAAATATGACGTACTTCATACTGTAACTTATTTTAAATAAGGTTTAGATTTTTTCTTATATACCTATTTTTGAACTTACTGTTGTATTGCAAATATATGTATATTGTGTATACATGGTGAACTTGTTATATATTTATAAACTTGGCAACGTTGTATACGTAATCGTGTTGTTTTACGGGTTTCCATTGTTATAGGTACAGCAAACATACGCAATTGTGTTTTCAAAAATGTAAATCGTACGCAATCGGGTTCTACTCAAAAAATCGGTGCAACCTAAACGGCAATCATTCATTGTTTGCTTATCACCTTGGTTGTTCATTTTTTGTTAAGTAGGTATTATTTGTTTTTTTTTTAAAATTAATACTATAGGTAGGTCTTAATATTAGGACTTTTATTTTTTAGGGGTGTACATTGTAAACTATAATATATGCCATATGGTATAAATATAAATGGTATATTAGTTTGGGATGGTCTATCTGATAATGCTTTACATCTTTTAATTATTAAACAAAAATGAATTGTTCGAATATGTTTGGAAAAAACACCTAGGAAGGCTCATCATATAATGATTTTAAGACTTTTGATGTTTAACCGATTTAACTACTATAATTTAAGAAAATAACTATAATGTGGATACTAAAATGTTTGGGTTAATGTTAATGATAACAAGAGAAAACATCTATCGTACAATGCAAAAGTTATTTGCTTTTAAAATCATTCGGTAAAAAAAATATGGACTATCTATCAAACTCCATTATTATTCAATGCCTTTGAATCTAAAAACAAATATTTATTTAAATGAGATCTGTGATGTTAATAAAACATAAACTTGAATAGGTATTTTTATACATTACTTAAAAATGGAAATATTTATACGATATATCTAAGTAACAATAAAAAATCTTTTATAATATATTTTGGTTGTAAGCAAAATAGTTTTTAAAGTGCCATTTATGTTACTTAGATTTTTAAGGGGAAGGAACGTCTTGTGACCGTTCAAACTGATGCTTGACCACAAGTGAAATCGGTGATCTAAAGTCTAGACGATGACAAAAAAAAAAATCAAAATGTTTCGTTTTTTTCTGGCTATTTCCATACATATTTCACTATAATTTTTTAATTTTTCCACGAAAGAATTTCCGACCAAATTTCTAAGCTATGACACAAAAAGTTAAATAAAAAAATCAATACACTCATTGCTTAAAATTTAAAATTTAAATAAACTCTCCACTCTTCATGGTTTAAGAGTAAAAAGTTCTCATAATAATACAATTAAAACTATATAGGCATTAAGTATGTAAGACAATATTGTAATAAATATAATGCCAACTTTTTTTCAAATACAATTTATTTATCGTTAAAAATATTTTATATGAACAGGTTTTATACATTTAATTAAATAGAAAGTTGCATTTTTAAAATGTAATATAATCTTTATTAATTTATAACACGCGATGAATACATTTTCAGTAGTTTAATAAATAATCAACGTTTTTGTGAGGGTACTACATGTACCCGTGGATGTGAGATTAAGACGCTAAGACAATTTTTCTGTTTTTGGTTTAAAGTTGTACATTATATGCTTCAGACTGTACTTATAAATAATTTTAATAACTATATAGCACATGAATGAAATTATTAAAGTTAAAATTAATACTGCAGCAATCACGTCTAAGAGAAAGTACTGATACCACGTTAGATTAAAAGCATGTGATTTCAAGTGTGGTGCTCCGTTATGACGATGTATATACTCCGTCCAGTACACAATCAATTTTTCTGGTGACATCGGCCGGTCCTTAAGTCGTTCAGAAGTGATTTTAGCATTTATCGAGTATCTATAAAATTATACATAATTACATATTATATGATAAATACGTTATGTACGATACGTATTATTGCATTAATATATTATTATTATTAGGAGTATACCTAATATTATAATATATTGGTATTTTTATATTATTAATTGGTGTAAATCAGATCTGATCAGGCTATTTCTGATGATAATATATTTTACTCTATTTATTCAAAGTATTTACTTTTCATCGTTAATGAGTTCCAAAATAGAATTTAAAACCTTATCTGTAGATACAGATAGCAGTTCCATAGAAATCGCCATCCCAGCATCAACTAAATTGGCAATATTTTTGTGTTGATCATAAAACAACGGAAATCCGAGAACTGGAACGCCAGCATCCACAGTTTCATAAACACCGGATATACCTCCGTGGCTGATAAATAATTTTACTTTGGGGTGCACTAGAAAAAAAACAATTACCTCTTTTATAGTTTTTATCTATACACTATGTGAGTTTTGGTCAGAAAATCATACAAAGTATGTCACGTTGAGGAAACCATTTTTTTATCATCACGTTTGGTGGTATGTCCTCCATTTCACCTTCATATTTCCATAAAACTCTTTGAGGGACTTGAGCTAATGCTTCTTTAAATGATTTTTGAATATAATCCGGCATCGTTGACATTTTCACGACTGAACCAAAAGTAAAGTAAATCACCCCATTAGATGATTCGTCTATGAATTCTAAAATATCCTGAAAAAAATATGAGTAAAAATAGTGGTATACTATATTACTATCTAAGACCTTCCGGATGGTGGATTAAATCCATAATGTAATTATTAAAATATGGAACTATATGGAACTAGGTACTCCTTATTGCAATAGTTATCAATAATCATAATTTAGTGATTTGATATTTTAAATTTTAAAATATACCTTTCAATGTTATTATTTTATAAAATGTACTATAATATAATATAATTGATGGTAGATGGTGGTTCAAAAGATATTGTTTAAATGGAAAATTAATAATTAATATCAATAGTTGTTTACTATTCTATTAAGCACCGGGCGTGATATTTAGTTTGTATTTTTATTTCTTGTATTAGTACATCATAATAATCGATAATAATGATGTGATACATATGTACTTTTTAATTTTTATCCGAGTTATGTAACGAGCTCATTATTTATAAGTTACAACTATTCGATTTATATAATATACGTTAGGTATCAGTGGCGTCATTTCAGTTTTTATTAGACTAGAGAAATTTTTCGCTGCTTTTCCGATTCAACATTTTTTTCACTCAGATTCTTATAGCATAGTGCAATAGAGGTTACGGGAGGGAGGGGCACACGGTAAATGTGCCGACACTATGTTGATGTAAATACTAGACTGGGACAAATTCCCCAGTTGCCCCCCCCCCTCAAATGACGCCACTAGTTAGGTTAGGATATGTCGACTCGTAAATTGTCGAGCAGTAAATTACGCGTCTAAAATAATAACTGTGTGAGTACGATACACACGGTAACTAATTTATAAGTATTCATAACACTATTTTAAACGGTTTTAGAAATTTAGAATCCAAATGTTTAGACACGTCGTATCAGTTCTCAACATATATAACATAATATATATTATATTTATCCGTGGGTAATGAATCGTTCTACACGCAGCTGCATTCAACTCTTGTATAATATTACGTCTTAGCCCTTAGGTATTAGATAATTAAATTTAAATCGTATGCCAATTATAATGTATTATACACACAGCTACAGACTGCAGTTTACTTATATCCGTATTAAACTTCGTTCGATAAGTTCATTGGCGTAGCCAGGATTCTTTTTCGGTGGGGGGGGGATGATCAACTTTTACACTTTTACACATTAAATACATACTAGCACAGATAGATAGCTGAAAAGTGTTAATACTTATAGACTTCAGTACATTTTAAAATATTTTAAATACAATTTAAGACTTTTTGAGTGAGCTAAAATAATTTTTTAATTTTCTTAACATTTCGGGGGTGGGGGGCAGCAACCCTCTCAGCCCCTCTCCTGGCTACACCACCGAATAAGTTCATATTATAATACCACTCCCCCCCGACAGTTTGCAACGCGCTTTCCTCTCGGCTTTACCTCGGATTTCAGTCCTCACAATTTGCAGCCGTTTTTTTTTTTAAATATATTAAAATTCTCTCGGCTTTAACGATATCTGTAATCTGTAATTCAGATTATAACATAAGGTGAATATATATAAACCTACTACGAGTATTCCGTATGGCGTATAAATGTATAATAGTTCCGTTTAATATATTATTATCGTTAATCTATATATTAGCATCCATTGTAGATAGTAATCGATTGTTATTATATTTATAATCATTATAATTATATCACATAAATCTCAGTATATATTATAATCTATTATCATCTGGTAATATTTTCAGATTTCCACTACACATTATCGGGTCGCGTTCCGTATGTATCAAATAGGTACATATATAGTTTACTCTGTAGAAACAACGCGTATTACTGGCATTTGGTTACCCTTATAATACTAAAATATAAACAAAACACGTCATGGTATAGTTAAAAAAGTCTTTAGTATCTATATTGGTATAACCAATGCCCAACGGTACATATAAGATTAGTGGTTACACGCAGTCAGTGTGCGCTATATTAACGACGTCTTAAAAAATAAAATTTCGCACTTGTCGGAAAAATTCGGGCATTTTAAAGAGGAGGTAATCCAATAAACAATTATAAATATTATTGAACACAATATGTGATTCTTTTTAAAGGTAATACTGAAGTCCGAAATATTTTTGTCCTATGAATTCGAATTGAAATGGGGTTTTCAGAAATTCAGAAGAATACCTACCTATGTATACAATACTGAAGTATACTTTATTTGGCGATTTCAAAATTTATTGAGCGTATACAACATGCATTTTTTAAACAGTATTTTTTAATATTTTAAAACAAAAATCGACTACAAGTTTAAATTTAAATAACTAAATTATTGAATGTTTGAATAGATGATCTTTTACGATTTCTCCATGTAATGTCATATATTTTTTAACCCAACTCTTCAAGATTGACCTAAATTTTAGTTACCAAGAAAATATGTCAAAATTACTGGAAAAAATTCGGTTCATTCAATAATCCAAGGCACATAACAATCACTTAACACACAAAACGAAAGGACTAATCATTTTTGAAACCTTAAAAATCAGTCGAGAGTGTTTATTTTCAGTGAATTTCCCTATAGGTCCTCATCCCGAAAACTGCATTTCAATCCAACTGCCTATAGAGTCAGTGCTGTAGCCTGTAAGACTTAAATATTTCGTGTTATTACCTACCTATATATACATTTAAAAGGAAACACGCACTGTACAGCATTACAGGTGGAGATTTTATTGCATTTTACGGGCATCTTACCTGCACGAACAAAAATAATTTATTGATGACATAAAATATAATACGCAATAATAATTTAAATTGTTTTCGGGGGAGGGGACCTTTTGGTATTTGTTAAGCACACAGCCACACAAGTGTATGGAAATATTTATTATTATCATATTATGTTCAGGATCACGTACTGTAGGCAAGCTCATTGGCTTTTCCAAATGCAGTCCTCCGACGTGTACGAAGTTCGGCGGTACAGGCCTGGATGCTTCGGTGGCGAAATGGCTGTTGACGAACACCGCGGACGGACGGACGGGCGCCAGGGTGTCGTAAGGTTTTGTCGGATCGGCGCGCTTCAATGACCACTCTGTGTACCGGACGACGAACACACTGTATGCCGACAGTACGGCGTTGCTGAACCGCTGGACGAACGAGCGGGGCACAGCGTGGTTTGCTAACAAGTGGGACACGACGGCCGGGTTCGGGACGTGTCCCAGGAACGAGCCCTCTTGGTAGCTGATCATCGGCGAAGGGACTACGAACACCAGTGGCAGTCCTAGCACGGTGGCCGCATGCGAGACGCATTCTGAACCCATAGGTTCAACGATGACCACGTCGTAACCACCGCGGTCGGTCCGCGGCCGCATCGCGGCTTTCATGCGTTCGTCCTGGAATATGGCGTCGCACAGAGACCGGCTGACGGTGACGAGCAGCGGCAGGAAGGCCGACGGTTCGACGAACTTCTCCAGCACCTCGGCCAGGTCTACGTCCAGCTTCATGCGAAACGCAGCGGATGTGTCCACCTCCGTGTAGTTGTCTCGTTCGCCGTCCGGGAACGGCGTGAACACTGTGACCGTGTGCCCGGCGTCAGTGAGTGCCCGGAGCACGGCCCGCATGAAGTTCCAGTGGCTCTTGCCCGCGATCGTTTCCACGGCCAACACCCTCATGCCGTCGACCGGCGGAGGCGTCCACGGGCCTGCCACCAGCAACAAACAACAGGCCACAGTGACGACCACCCGGCACATATCGGCTGCGGCTTTGCTATCGTTCGACATGACTATTATAATATGTCAGTGGTATAATAATGTCTCCGGTGTGATATTATTATATGTTGAGTATATTATGACGTGCCGCAGTTCACGCTCAAATCCGTCGTCCGCGGCGATCGATATAATATTATTATATACTATAGACAACTTTTTTTATCGGCCTCGTACGGGCGTATACTTGTACCAGCCTACATATTATCGTACATTCGTATTAGAATATTATTATTACTATTAATTATCACACGGTAAATATAATATGTATATATATCATTCAGCCGACCTTTTGAAACTTTAATAATTATTATTGTACCCATTCGTGCTCGTAATAATATAATTATAATAATAAAAATACGATGGAAGTTTTATAACATCTATTTAGGAACCTAGTGCACATTATAAGCTGACGTGTACACCACGCATAATCGTTATTAACACAATAATGTTGTACGATTGTCACATTAATTATTATATAGTTTTGAAATCGGTCATGGTGTAGGCGCACGAAGAATGGAATTCTATTCGCAAAATATAAAGTTAATATAGGTACAACACTACAACATATACGTATATGTAAATATATTAATGTAATGTATAATTATAGCGTGTAAAATATAGTGTACTATAGTCTATAATGATAATAGTGATTAGCGACGCAATATTACAATATAAAAAAAGGTGGGCAAGTGGATATTGCTCTGCTGTACAGAAGGTTACAAGTGGGTCACTGTATAATGGATGGTATTAAATTTGAATTCAATGATATAATATCATTGTATAGGCATTCTAATACATTCTCCCGCAGTCCCTCCAGTGTCCCTATAGACAGTGTTTGATAAGTTATATTTTTTCGGAACCTAATTAAATGGCAATATGAATTATTATAAGTTACCTATGTAAGTATACTTGTCCAAAACTTGACTACCGGGATTTAAATAATAAATGTGATTTAGGTAATAGGTACCCATTGGCTATTGATCTATTATAAAATAGAAACTTAACCTGTCAATAATAACACTATATAAAATAGGTAATTAAATGTGATAATTTGAAGAAAATTTCTTAAAACCTCTAAAATATTTTTTGTTTTTAATTTAGTGTTATAATCTAGTTTAGGGCCCACACAAATTTTTAAATTTTTTCGGAGACCTATTTGTTGCTTTCAGTCATAAGAACTATGATGCAAAAATTAATTGCTGTAAATCATTAGTTTTTATGGTATAGCTTTACGAAGTTCACGATTTTCGGTGTTTTACGCACTCGTACAATGCTTACCTATAGTTTACCGAGCTTAAGCATAACAAATTAAAATTATTTTTTGCAATATCGTTCTTAATTCATTGTAACTTGTAATATACATAGGTAATAGCCAGTAGGTTACCGAAAAAAAAATTGAAAAATTCGCGTGGGTGCTAAACTAGATTTGTTCCCAATATAGATATTATTATAATTTATAATTATAATATATAATATGTAAGTACACATTTTGATATTATGTTTGTAAAGTGTTCTTTGTGGTTTATGAGGGGGGGGGGGTGACAAATATTATTATTCAAATATTATTTATTATTATCATAGAAAAGCAAGTATTATCATTTATTATCATTGATTAAATATTTTACTATCATGATTTTTTGTAAAAATATTCCAAAGAGCATGAACAAACGGTCGGTTTGTTATCATTCCAGCTGTTTTTCAATCATAGATTTTCGTTTGCTACCCGTTTGCCCTAACGCGATTATTTTCTTCGTAAATGTGAATCGCGCATTTGTACTCAAGATCAAAAAGTTCACCGACGAGTCGAAGAGTTTCGCTTAAAATGTCCATGTCAACCTTGAAGACTCCCGTGATGAACAGCATTGCCAAACGCTGTTACGCCAACAAGGCTGCGGCGCTATCCATCAAAGGCCCACAGGTGCAGACGAAAAAATTGCCCAACAACTCTCTGGTCGTAGCCGTTCCCGATTACCCGACCAATATCGGAAGGGTTTCGGTGACTTTCTTGGCCGGATCGCGGTACGAAGACCCAGAGAACGCGGGTATCTCCCATCTGGTCCGCAGCTCTGCCGGACTCAGCACCGAATCGTCGTCCACATTTTCGATCATACGAAACCTTGGTCACTTGGGCACCAACTACTATGTAACTTCCGACCGCGAGACGATCACGTACACCATCGAAGCACACAAGGAAAATCTCGTCAGCAGCTTAAAGTATTACATTGAGTCCATTTCGAATCAGACGTTCAAGCCTTGGGAGCTCTCCGACAACTTGAAACGCGTAGAATACGATCTGTTGACCGTGTCGCCCGAGCTCAGGGTTTTGGATTTGGCTCATAAGGCCGCGTACAGAAACGCCCTCGGTAACACAGTGTTTTTGCCCAAATACAACGTCAAGAAATTGGGATCGGAACATCTCTTGTATTATGTCAAGAAAAATTTCAACAACCAAAACGCTATCATATCTAGTGTCGGAGTTGACTTGGACACACTGGTGCATGTTTCGGAAGACTTGAATTTACCCAACGGAGATGCAAGCTGTTCACCAAAATCCAAATATTTCGGCGGAGACCTGAGGAAGTCTAAGGCATTGGACGTTACTTATTTGGCTGTCGTAGGCGAAGGAGTAAGCTATAAAGATTCGCAAAGTGCCTCATATGCCGTACTTCAATATTTGCTTGGCAAAGGATCATCAGTGAAATGGGGAGTTGGACAAGGAGTCTTGGAACAAAATATCCTAAAATCAAACTGTTCAGATAATTTTGCTGTATCTGCCGTAAACTATAACTATTCAGACTCCGGTCTCTTCGGTTTCTTGTTAGCATACAATGGCAAAGATGTGAGTAATGTCTTAAAAGCTGCGGTACAGAGCTTAAGATCTCCTACAGTTACTGAAACCGAAGTGTGCAGGGCCAAGAAACAATTGATTTTCTCACTTGTATCAGCATCAGAATCTAGTGCCGGAGTCCTAGAAAATATTACTTACCAAGCTACCACCACTGGACAAGTAATACCATTTGAGAAGTTGATTGCTGCTGTTGAAGCGGTTACCATTGAGGATGTGAAGAAAGCAGCCAGCAAAGTAGCTGGTAGCAAGTTGTCATTGGCTGGTTATGGTAATGTAGCAACTACACCTTACTTGGATAATTTGTAATTTAGTGTTTAATTTTAACTTGAAACTTTGTTAGTAAAATTCTAAACTCTAAATATACTTTTATTGTTCAACTGTTTTTTTTTTACATTTACCTAAATGTCTGTTATAATTAAATACATTTATAGAATATAAAAAAAATAAAAATAAAACATCAAGTTTAACATTGTATTTATTATAATAAATTTGCACAACTTAATTCATCATAAATGTACGACAAAATAAAATATTATATTAGAGCTTAAGATTTCCTTGGTGGTATTCTATTTACGGCCTTTTTTCTTTTTGCTTCCACTAGGTTCATTTTTGTTTTGTTGCTCAGGGCCAGGTACTTTCATAGTACGACTTTTTAGTTTTGGTATCTGTACACCACAATGTTTCATCAAACTCTCTCCTGAAACACAGTTATTAAATTTTTAACAATAAAGTTGAGTATTTGTTTAGAAAACATACATAAATAATTATCTTATGGTAAATTTTTAATAATCAACTATGTTATATTGTGGATACACTAAATAGTAGATGTGATGTCAATGATAAAAATGTTCAAGTATGTCCATTGCTGTAAGAAAAGAATTCTATGATGTGACAAACTGCAAAAAACTTCTAACTAGGGGCAAATTAAAATATCATAATAAATTATTGTCATATAGATTTAATACAGTTTAAAGTTATCAACTTATCACATAAATGTTTATTGATATTGAGTCTTTAGAATATTTACTCAATGCACTGAGGGCTGTTCTTACAATGTCCGGTTAAAGTTAACTGACACTTAACCAGCCAAATTCTGCTGATAATAAAATCTGTTATCAGTCGGTTAACGTTAACTGACACTTAACTGGATATTGTAAGAGCGGCCCTGAATCGCATTACTATTGTTGCAATTAAAATTATTTTCAGATACCAATATTTATATGAAATGGGTGCCTACTACTTTATAATTACTTAATTTATTATAAAAATAAGAAACATATATTTTTTAATAACTACCTACCTAATACCATATTTGAATAATTTAAATGAAAATAAATTTATTTAGAAGTAAATCGGTGATGGGAGGGGAGTTAGAGGGAGTATAGCCCCAAAATACTTTTGGTATTGTATTATCCGTTTTCTATTTCTTTTAAAAAATATTTTGGTTTGGTATTTATTTATTACTTATTAGTTGTTGGTATCAGGATAAATGAATGTTGCAAAGAACTGTATTACAAATTTACAAGTAGGTATTAGTGAAAATACTAAAATTCCACAAGACTTAAAATTTAACATTTCAAAAACTGTTTACCCTAATTTTTACAAATTAATACAATTTCCTCCAAGCTCCGCAGAGTGTGAATGAAGCTTTATTGCTTTGAGGTGTGCAAGGACTGGTGAGGTAGTTTAATGCTTGAAAACAGTTTTTTAACACTCCATATAAAATATTGAAACTTAAAAGTCAACTAACATAACTAGGCATGGGCAACAATGAAATTATTGAAATGTTTTTGTTCAAATTTTCAGAACAATATTATTAAAATTATTTCAAATTTCAATATTGTGTTTAGTTAACTTTATAAAGTTTTATCATAATTGTGTACCAATGTACTTACTCTAATAGTTATGTTGGGATTAGAATGATTGTAAATCTTAATAAATTATACATTTAACTGCTTATTAGTACATCTTTATCATTTTTTTTTAAACTCACTCGAAGGAAACGTTTGGTTGAAAGGTGTTCCATCATCATTCTTAAGTTGCACCCGTATCCGACCACGGAAGTGCCATTCCTTACTACATTCACGGGAATACTGCTTGTTTTCAACTTCGGCATTGAAACCGGATGCCTTGACAACTTCGAGAATCTCTTGGTAAGTTGGATTTTCCACAGCAAATTTTTTCGGTACAATACGTCCCTCGGCTAACGTTTTTTTATTATTCAAATACGCTGGGTATATGCATATCCACCTACACCAAAATGGAAACAACGTTGGTTAATATTGTAACATGGGTACGTAGCAGAAACGAAGCACTGGTCGAATCGATTGATCAACTTACCTGGACCGATCGCTTGGTTTCTTCTCGGCGTAAATGCTCGACATTTTTCTTTCAGCTCACAACATTAAAATTATAAAAAGAAATTCAAATAATAGTAATAATCTAATACAAAGTCATAGTTGTACCTTTCTAATACTACTAATTTAGTACCTATTGATTATTTGATATTAATAATATGTATGGATAAATAAGGGTAATATTATTATTATTACAATTTACGTATTATTGTGATTACCACAGATAATAATATAATATTATCTATAATAGCCGTGGCGAATAGTGACACGTTTATATTATTATTATGATGAATATAGGTAGCGCTAGAGCAGTAGAGCCTGTGGTTGCTTTATTTCCCCTTCACCGCTCCATCATCAGAAATTAGAATCATTATCATTTCAATTTAGTAATTAGTTCACACTTTCACAGTATCACGGCCTCATGGTGCATGGTTGTTGTTGTGTATTGTCACAACGTCACAATTAAATTATGTCTATAATGTCACAAATCACAATTGTCAAATTGGCAATTTTGAACAAAAAGTATTGGTGATCACTACGGTATCTATCGGGCAAATATTGAGGGTTCAAGTACACATGCAATATACAGGCAATACGTACCGATCCGTATCGGACTCAGAATTTTTTTTTCTCGAAAATCTGGTGACTTGAATGTTCATTACATTTTTGAATGAGCATGTTTAGAAATAAATAGAATAATCGGCGTAAGCCAGATGCCACACCACAGACTGTAGAAAAGGTTTTATTTATTATAAAATGATTTACAAATAAAGTGGAAGACTATCTACAACGATTATGTATGCATTGAATTGTATATTGGTATTGGTTTGCCAAGTAGTTATTGTACAATGTACAGTAGGTAGACAGGTAATCCAGAGACTAGACTAAAACTGTGTGCAGTACTACTGTACAAATTTATAAAGTTTGTACTCTGTACCTATATCTAATAATATAAGTAAATGCGAATAACCGAAAAATGAAATGTTGTACATTTAAATTGTGTTAGGTACTTAATATTGAATATAACATTAAACACCGACTATAATATTAAAAAAACTAAATATTCTTAAACTTAGGTAAAACATTTATTATACCTCACTAATTAAGCAATAGAGAGTTCCAGATATAAATTATATCATTCTACATACAAACCCAGCATAAATGCTAAAAACTGCTATAGTGTATCGAAAGCTATTAAAAATTTTCAGTATTTTTGAATAGAAATGTGCAGAACATATAAATACATATTTAGTTGCTGAAATAAGAAAATTGCTATCCTTTTAGACAATATTAAATATATATTAATCTATTATAGGTACAGTGAAATAGTCTCGTACAAATGTTTTATACAACAATCATAGTGAATAGTTATATAGCCAGTATACTGTATAACCTTATGTTTATGTTTATAGAAATATATATGATATTTCTATATGACATACTTATAGAAATATGGAATTATTACTTGTGGTAGTACTAGTATACAGACTATGAAAATATAGTTCATATTATAGTCTGTACATTGACTTAAACTTTATAGGTCTACAAGTCTCTGGTACTAAATAGTAAATACTAATCTGCATAAAAATCAAATTGCTTCAAATAATATAAGGATTAGTACCACTTAATAGGGTCTCACTGAGCTATAATGCTAAAATAAATTATATTTTGTCCTGATCGTGATAAAACAATAAAATGTATTCCTGTTCTTCAACTAGATTCCAACATTTAATATCCTTTCTTGCCACTTGCATTTAGGTAATCCCGATTCCTGGGTATTTAGGGAGTTTTTGTTTTGTATGATATCATTTGACTCTTCATTGATTACTTTTACAGAAACTTAATATTAAGTAGTGTGGTTGAGTTTGAGAATATCATAGAATATAATACATTCATCATCATGTCAACTGTATTTCCTTGGTTGGATATTAATTATGATCAACTAAAACTAACGTTAATCAGAATCACAAGAAAAACTTGATATATTTTGCTGTCATATTTCATTAGATTCGTTTAAATTTAATATTAGATCAATAATCCAACTTATTTACTCACCAGGGATAATCTGATCAGTTCATGGACTATATCTTAGTCCGTGGGTCAGGTATACTTATTCTTAGATCATAAATAATAACATAATAATAAATAACATACATAATATATAATTTTAAATACATATAAAATATAATTTAAAAAAATTTACATTAGGTATAATAAAATTAATAACATTTTTTAAATACATTTTTAGTTGAAATTTTCATGGGTTATTGTGTTCTTTAGCTGAGTGTTAGTATTAGTTTTCTTTTAAGAGCTGTAGGTTCTGAGCTCCATTCTGAGTGCACAAATGTCAACAGGTTGTTTCAGGTGATAACTTTGGCTTTTAAATTTTTTATCGGTAAGCACGGACTAAAATATACATTTTATATATCTTAGCCCGTGTCGACTGTCGATAAGTAATCATTATAATATAAAAAGTTGACATTAAAACTGAATTATTTCTATTAAAGAAATTATGAGGTTATGACCCCAAACCAAACATGATTCGCATACAAGGGACTACATGAGTGGCTTTATGTATAAGCAATTGAGCTAAATAACAATTGAAATATTTTCTGATACTACCAGATATCAATCAATAAATCAATTGAACTGATTAGCAGTTGATTAATTATAAGTCATCAAAATATGCACATTTTGATTGTAAATCTTTGTGGCTGGCTAATCTGCACATCTGCTGTGTTGAAGTGTAAATCCGTACAGATGGTGTTTTTTGTCGGAGTTGCATTTCTTTCTATATTCTTCTCATATTGCCTGTCATCTTATTTTCAGTGGGAGCGTGGGGCCATACTCCGGAATTTGCAGTTTATTGGTTTTATGCAAACTGACTTTTCAGCAAGTTTAATTTTCTTTATATTTTCTAAACAATTGAGCTGAATAACAATTCAAATACTTTCTGATACTACCAGACATCAATTAAACTGATGAGTTGTTCATTAATTTATAAGTTATCAAAACATACACATCTGATTCCATTACATTAGTTTTTTTCTGTTAGGTTAAACGTTAGCTGAATGTAAGAGGTACTTTCCAAATCAAAGAATGCATTTGTTTGTATTTGCTTCATAGGCAGTCTGATCAAAGTGTTCGATGTGGGTTCTAATTTGTTTCTTTCGTTCCGTGTTCGGGCTCTAATGTATGCTCACCTTTATGTGAAACCACTATCATTGGCAGAATAAGTTTATTGTTCTGTAATTTATATTGCCAACGCTTCATCAAAATTTAAAAATGTCCAAAATACTAATATCTGAAATAATTGTCTTGGCCAGGATTAATGCTGTGTTCTCATAAAAAATTATCAACAAGTAATTAATTGTTTGTTGCTTTTCAAGTTTTAAATAAAATTTGATATTATTTTGGTAATTCAATTGTTTCAGATTCAAGCAATTGAAGAAACATCATGGTATGGTTTTAAACGTTTGCAGCTGTTACGGTATTTTCAACATGGGTACGTTTACAACCTATAAAAAGAAAACCTTATTAGATTAGGTCTTACCTTTAGTCTACTATGTAATTATGAAAACAAAATTTTACCTTAAATACCATGTAAGACAGTGTTTTCATCCTTGATATGTATGTACAAATGTGTCAGTTTGCTGCTTGCATGTCCGGAACCAAAGTAACGAAGCCAAACAGTTTCACAGTATAAAAGTCTGTATAAAGAATAATATTTTATTATATTTTTTTTTTATATTGTGTTTTAGTCTTCAAGAGCGATTGTACAAGTATGTGTCAATAGTCGATAAACTATACTAAGGCCCACGAGAGAACGACCAACTTTGCGTATATAGACTGACAACAGTACTGTTGTCAAAATACTTTTCCCATCATCCGTTCCCAACGCTACGGACAATATTTTCTAGTCGTTCTTATGTGGAACCACAAGTATATAATAAAATATTATAAAAGTATAAAATATACTATGATTTTTACACAGAACAGACGTACGACACTCTTGCGTAGAATATGCTCGACAGCCGTAGGCCAATCTCTGGAGTTTTGGCGACAATACGTACGCCATGTCCAACACTCCTACGCGAGTGCGTGCGAATTCTATTCTGACCATGCTGTTCCGTGCGTTTGATGGGGCGAAATACAAATTACAAGCTTTTTGTTTTTTGCCGCAATCGCCAGATTCACATATGACACGGAGTTAAGTTATGAACAATGTTTTCACTCACCATGAATGTTTCTCTGGAGGTTTGCCGTTGTGTACTTTCGTGCGTCCGGTGTTTGGTGGTGTGTGCATTGTATTACGATCATTTTTAACAATAAAGCATCTATAATACACTAAACTTGCACTATTGGAATCACTTTCTCAGATTTGATGAAAAGAGAGATATACTCATGTTTATTTAGTCATGGATATACTTGTCTATGGGTCGACGCCAGACGCCAACGAAAATTCGATGCCTATATAGGATATTAGGATAATAGATAATTCTTCAATTATCTATGCGTTTGGCCGTTTTGTGGTTGTATCTTCAATCTTGTATGTATAATATAGATAGATAGCAGGCTATCTTCTCTAAATCGTGGACCGGTGTTTACGGTCCATCAGTGTTTCACCACGAACAATATTACTGAATTATCGTGTATATCGTCATGTATCAATGTATGTGAGCGCCAAATCTTGACTTGTGCTGTTATCCGACATATTATGTGTAGAAAAGATAATAAATATTAAATTTGATATTACTGTTATGTTGATAATTGATATCGTTTGTTGCCTGTTGGTCAGAACTTGAATATAAACTGCACTTAAAAATTATAATAGTTTACGTTAATTAATAATTTATTGATTGTAGCTTGCGTGTATGAGTTACGTTACGAATGTTAAGTTTTAAATTAATATCTACTGTTTTGTTGCATAGTCGTCTTTAATTTATTCAAAGGTTTTTTTAAAAATCGTACAAAACATGGCATCGATGAGTGCAACGAAGAAGAAACAAGTGTCCCAGAATGAATTGCGTTTATTAATGCTCAAGCAAAAACTGCAGACTCAAAGGGTGAAGAAGAAAATTGAGTCGCCACTAGCAAAATATCCTTTTAATTTTGTAATCATATTTTATTGTCTGATGGCTCTGTGAGTCCGATATGCTAGTTTTATTACCATAATTACTTATTACAGAAAAATATCTAAATGTAATTTTCGCATTCAGTATATTTCTCACTTTCGCAGTGTTAAGTTCTATATATTATTATTTATTGTTGAATCTGAGTAGCATTTATCACAAGATTGTAAATAATACCTATCCTATATCAGGTACCTGGTAATTTTACAATTTAATACTGTATTAATTTCATGGATGACATGATACCTAGATTTCTATTATGGCTATTGGCTATGGTTCATTAATTATATACATAATTATTAGGTATGTAAAATTGTGTAGGTACTATTAGGTAATACCTAACAAAAACTAACAGAGTTAAAATTATTTCACTTAACTTAGATATTATATTTTTATGCATAAACTTGCTGCGAAAAAGAAATGGGTAATATTACATTTTATATTGAAAATTTAATTTATTTGAATTTAAATGAACATAATATATCAATACATACATTTAATTTTTCCAACTATTTCAATTTGATTATTCTAGATATATATATTTTTTTTTTACTTTGCGTATTTATTATTTAATGACAATTTTTCGTTTCTCAAGATGCAAGTTTTACTATGAAATTTTGATTTTATTTCTTTTACTTTTACAATGAATCAAATAGGTATCTCATACATATTTAAAAGTAAATTTGATTAAAATTTATATGTTTATTATTGTCTAATTAAGATATGACTTGAACATATCTTATTATAATTTATAACCATCGATAAAAAATGTAAATACTATTATTTATAATCAAAATTATAACTTCCAACTTCCAAGTAATAATGTATGATATTATGGTGTTGAATTAAAATCCTTAATTATTAGCATATAAACATATAGCTTAAGCGGTCAATTGTCATGCGCTGTATGTAAATTGAACATAAAAGATGATTCTTCATGGAGTGTTCATATCTCTTCCAAAGTTCACAAGGAAAACATTTCCAAACGTAAACCAGAATCATCAAGAATGACTGAAAGATTAGCAGTGACTACGGAAAGCTTAAAACGAACTCTACCTAAACAAGAAAGTTTCGTTCCACCAAAAAAATTAAAAGGTAATTTAAAATTCTATATCTTTATTAAGAAGTATCTAATTTGATATTTGAAATATATATATTTTTTAATGAATTTACATAGGTATTTTAAAAAATTATAAAGCTCCACCAGAAAAAGTCCCTAGTGATTTCTTTGAAAGCCCAATTCCAACCTCATCAGATAATACAAATGTTAATCAAGAAACTGATGAAAAAATGGATGTTCAACAAGAGACTCTTGATGATTTAAATCTTGACGGAGGTGAACTCCCAAAAGGATTTTTTGATGATCCAATGTTGGATGCTAAGGTGGATTTTGTATTGGTTAATTAATAATTTTAATATCTCATTGTTAAATGTTATGGTGTTTTGTAAATACTGTTAAATTTATTATTGTATGTTTTATTAGATTCGAAAAGAGGAATATGTCAGCTCAATAGATGAAGAATTTTTAAAATTTCAAAAAGAAATTAAAGAAGAGAATATGTTATCTGAACAGATAATGGCAGATAATGAGGATGAAACTACTTATGGGCGACAAGTAGAAGAAATTGACGAACAAATCAAACATTGGTCTAAGTATGTTTCATTTCCATAATTAAGACAAGTGGTGTGCTCAGATTTTTTTGAAAGATAGGGATATGAATTTTGACTTTTCCCAGACCATGTTATATAGCAGTTAATATACTTTCATTACATTATCATATATTTTATTGGTATGATAATATGAAATTATAAAAATGTAATTCATTTAATGTAATAATTTATTGTAGCAATATAACTATTTATAGTATTTAAAGCACTGATCAATATGCACACAATGTTAATAGTAAAATTGTTAGTTGAAATTATCAAAATTCCTATGTTAACACATTTGATCTTTGAAAACTACAATCGACAGTTGAGCATAATATGTACACTAGATAATTTTGCATAGCACTGTTTGGAACAAATCTAGTTTAGCGCCCACGCGAATTTTTCAATTTTTTTTTCGGAAATCTTTGTGTTTTAACGAGTTTAGAACGATGGTGCAAAAAAAAAGTTGGCAGAAACCATTATTTTGGAAGTTCTAGCCTTCCAAAGTTTGCAATTTTACACGGACATTTGTACGTTCAATAACGAACATCGATTAACTGTGAAATACCTAAACTTAAACGAAAATAGACCACTGCACTCGCTCAGACATTTAAAAACAAAAATATCCCTTCATACTTATTATGCAAAACCACCTCAGGTACCAGAGACAATCGAAAATCCCTGAAATGAACAGGTTCATTAATCTCAAACTTCCGATCTACGGTAATTGACGTGCAGTGCAGACCACTGCGCCACACTTCATTCGCACAACGTTAGTAAAAACTACCTATTTAAATGAATTGTAGAAAAAACTTGAATTTCAAATTCTATAACTTGAAAACTATTGATTTCCGCCAACTTTTTTTTGCACCATCGTTTTTAAAACGTTGATTTTACCCAAGTTTTGGAAAAAAAAATAATTGAAAATTTCTTTATAAACGTGGAAAATAGAGCGTGCGCGCATGCGTATAAACGTAAAATTGCAAACTTTGGTAGGCTATAACTTCCAAAATAATGGTTTCCGCCAATTAATTTTCGCACCATCGTTCTAAACTCGTTAAAACACAGGTTTCCGAAAAAAAAAATTGAAAAATTCGAGTGGGCGCTAAACTAGATTTATACCCACTGCTTTGTCCGCTGTTGTTAATATATATCTTTAGAAGTGGACAAATATCAAAACTAGAGATTTTGTTTTACAACTATAGCTGTTATCCATTATTAGTATTAAACAAAGTGTTTATCTGTGATCTGTCACCATGTAACATTTTTCATGTTCAATATTTAAATTTACTACCAAGTAGTTATTGGTATTTGAATTTTATTATAATATTCTATTGTTTATATTATAGAGTTATCGAACTAGAGAAGAAAAGAGAAAAAATTGCTTTGGCTACTGAAAATATGAACAACATGGAAATTAAAAATGAACCAGATGAAATTGAAGAATCTGATGGTTCTGACATGGACGAGTTTATTGATTGGCGGTCAAAAAAATAAAAACATTGAATATGAGATTATGTTAGGAACATAATGTTAAATATATTTTTTTTTATGTGTATAAAATTATTTAAAAAATGTCTTGTGCTATAATTTTTAAATTAGTTAATTATAAATTATGTAAAATTATAAATGATAGTTATTTTTCATCACCATGTACAACCAAGTATAAGAAAAACTTTATTGTAGGAGAATGCCGTGGTATAATATGTAATGTATGTATTTGCTTGCCGGTCTAAAAGTTAAAAACATTGAATACAAGACATAATTCTGAATAAACTATATTTGTATATGTATAAACTTATAATACAAATGAAATGCTATTATTTATGAACAAGATAATAGTGAAACATTTAAAATATAAACAGTAGTTATCTTGCATTACCATGTACAAGTATAAGAAAAACTTTTTGATTTAGCAGAATGCAGTTGTCTGTGTAATGCTTTTTTCAACCTTCATTTTTTTTTTTTTTTACTAACCAACTGAAATAATTATAATTCAATTATAGTCAATTAACTGAATATTTTTGTTTAGTTTGAAAAGTTCCACTTCGTTGTAGTTATAGTAGAGTAATGCTAGGTATAATAATAATATTTTTTAGAACTTAAAAGCAGTATATAGCAGCTAACTGTTCATTAGTTACATCCCCCCAACAACAAAATAATGTGACTGGCGACTACCACTGAAGCAGGGGTTGTCTCCATTGTAGAGTGCACATTTGACAGGTTATTAAATTATTTTACAGTTTACTACAAACGGTAGGAAGCTGATGAGTCTACAGTAATATAATGTAAGTAATATTTTGCATTTTTGCTTTGAATTTATTAAAGATTTATTAGCGTAGTAAAGGCTGTGTGGCAACATATTATTATTAAGAGGATGTTTCACCCGCATGTGTTGACTCTGTCTCAGTGACTCCATTGATTATAATTTATAAATATAATCAATAATTATAATTAAAATTAAAATCAAAATAATTATAATTATAATCAATGGTAACGTGTATACATGACAAATTATAAAGTATAATCCGTTTTAACTCTGTTATTTTTAATATCTACTAAAATTAATTTATATATTATCAATTTTAAAGGCAGACATTTTTTTTATTTGTTTCACGGATTCTTCTTAGTGGAAAATTTGCTTGTTATGAGTTAGTAAGACTGAGACATCACAATATTATGTCTGTCCGGTTGGTGAAACAAAGAGGACGCCAAACCCGCATGTGTTGTCTCCGTCTTAAAAGTGCGTAACAGTAAATTTAAATCAGATCACGGTTAAGCTACGTTAGTTTAAAAATTAGAGCGAATCGATCTATACTCGATAAACTTGATGGTAAGACCATTATCTGTGTTCGTATGTTGGTTTTTTACGATAGTTCAACTTTTTAGCAAGTTATGGGTATATAATAATATATAGTGTAATTTAAAAATGCTCATAACTCACTTAAAAAGTGAACAATCTTAAAAAACCAACATACGAACATAGATAATTTTCTTACCATGAAGTTTCGTAATAGGGCGATTCGCTCTAATGTTTGAACTAACGGAGCTAAACTTGATCTGCTGAGCGTCATTTATCATGTTACGAACTTGTAAGACGGACATAACACATGTGAGTGTGGCGTCGTCTTAATTACAGAGTATAATAATTAATAACATCTATTATGTAAATTTGTAATATTTTTAACACCAGTAAAGACGGCGTTACGAATAGGCTATTTGGCTACACCAACGTCGAGGGATCGTTTTCCAGTATTTCGTGTAGCAATTAATAACAATAATAATATGATATTATTTCTGCAGTCTTAAAAATATATGATAAATACTATGGAGTTGCATAATAGAGCCATAGAAGGCTGTTCTGCATATAGGCATGGTAAAAATTAAAAACTAATATTCTGAATTCATATTGAAGCGTCGTGGGAAAGTTTAAATCAGTTGATGAAAATATGAAGTAATGAAATGTGAATATTAATGATTGTGTCAAACCACAAAAGATAAATACAATTAGTGCGATGAATAATGAATAAAATTAGTGTAAGTGTTCAGAGGCTATGGTAATTATGTCGATTAATGTACATTTTTCCATTTTTTATGCTTTATAATATTTTAATGTTGGTGATTTACACAAAAAATACGGAAGCATAACGTTGATATAATTCTAGGTACCATAGGTATGTAAAACTCTCAACAGCGTTTCTGTAGTTCGTGATTATATTTCATAAGCTGGCTACATTTTCTGTTATCGTACGATAATAATAATTTCATTTATATTCGTCGCGGTGCTGGAAGGCAAAGATTAATGATAAAAATATTAAATTTTTTTCTCAGATATTCGTTATTCCAAGTATCGGCGTGGGCCCGTGAATAGAGTGTCGGGTGGTGCTAAAGTCATTATTTATTAGTGTTATTATTTTAATACCAAAGACTATACTAAGTTACATTAACACCGATATCACGAGTCTTACTTACCTACTTGGTTGGTCAAAGTCAAATTTGCTAACATTTTGTAAATCTCTGTGACTATTTTTTTTTTATAATATCAGACTATAATGATTTAGGGGCCCCAAAATTAATAATTTGTCCCTGTTTCTGAAAAACTTTGCGACTGCTCTGAACATAATAATATTACTATGGAAATGTTTAATTTATCAAGGCTGGGAAAGTTAAAGGTTTTTTGCAACTCGTTTAATTATGTCAATATGGAAATAATTATATAGTTGAGTCAAAAGTTATCTAATACACCTACCTTTTTTTTATTTCGTTAAGTTAAATATTATAATGGTGAATAAATAAAAATCATAAAAAGAAACAAACGACGTTTGACATTATTAATAGTAACAAAAAAATTATAAAACATCATAAACCTACTCAATAGAGATACCAGATACATTTGAGAATTTCAATATTCTTCCAAACTAGGAGAGGCTGAGAGGCATTGACTATAGGAGTGTAAGTTTACGAGTGATGTGTGGTCGTGTGGACTGTTGACTACCTTTAATTATTGAATTATCACACTTATCCATTAAATGGATTTGTATATTATAAACATTATTATAGTATTATTATTATTTTTTTTTTGTTATTTGATCCCGGCATCTATGGCTATTAGCTGTTAGTAGGTTGTAAGGTGGTGATGGTAGGGTTTTTTGTTGGTGGGGGTTTACACGTGAGTGTTTGTGTTTTGGCAGAATTTCGAATGGGGCACCCGTAGGTTTCTGCCATGCCCCGGAGTGGGGGATGGCGGCACTTGTTCTCCGGACACCGTGACTTGCCCGGAGAAAAATGCCGCCCAGTGGTCGAGGATCGAACGCGAACCGGCAGCGCCGCAGCCGACGCGTTGACCCCCCGGCCACCTCGTCACCCTATATTATTATTGTTTTAATATAAATTATTAATTAAAATTTTTTTTTCGATTTAAATATAAAGGTTGAATATCATGAAAAAATAAATGTTTATATATTATGTAATATGTAAATATATATCACTTTTGATTTCTCAAATGATTTTTAACGATTTTTATCAATAATTCAAATGTCGACGACACATGCAAATACCTATCTATAGATAATAATATTACGTAATACCTGACATATATTGTATATGTAATACCGTGGTGTACTCATCGTATGACTGTATAACACTGCGATTTAATACTAGATAAAAATAAAGTAAAATAAATAAGTTGCAGATAAATCGTGAATTTGAGTTTAATACTTTGACAATGTAATATTTTGCCGATGTACATAGTATATAATATACCTAAAATATTAAACTTGACTGTGTAGTATTTTCTTTTTGAGTACCATATTTGCATATCCTGTTGTGTAACTATTCGTCACGTCGTCACGACACTTTTTATCGATGCATAATATACTACATTACTACCTATTTTATTGTATCGATCTGTAATCAAATAGGGCTGCACTATCGATCGACGACCTTTGGCCATCCTTTCGGCCTCGATCTGTGCGACAAAATATTTTATAATAATATTCCAATATACTCAAACTCAATTGGCAGTTGCACTCCGTGTTCGTACTATTAAAACCAACCACTAATTTAATTACTAGTAAACATTATTAAACGTAACAGCGACGGTTAATGTGCGTGCGTATTGAAATCACTACTTTCTTCCTCCTTCACCTGAAATGTTATTGAACAATATTTATTCATCGTACATAGTTTTAACAGATTATTCGAAAAGTGGAATACGCATAATTATTGCTTATGAATTTGCATCACGTCATGGTCACCGTGTTTATGAAAACTACTCGTAGACCATATGCGGAAATTTGCTATAATTTTAAAGGGGGCTAATATTTAAAAAATACTTTACTGCATATCAAAGCCTTTCTTAGCACTTGACAGTGGCGTACCTAGGTCTCTCTTATGGGGGGGGGGGGCGAAATATATTTTTACCTATTCTTAAAAATGTACACGTCACAGCTAATCTAACCTAATGGAAATTTCATACTTGTAAAATACCTATTAAATAAAACATTTTAATAGGTACATAAAAAAGAAATTATTGTTTAATATAATAATATAGTAAAATGTATGTTATAAAATAATTTTATTATAATTATAATTTATAATACAAAGTCTAGCTTTCTGTTTTTCATACGAGAAAATCGTTCAATAATTTCGTCCACTGGTATATTTATTTCTTGATAAATGTGCAATAGTGCAAGCCCACATAAGCGATCCTGACCCATTTTTGAAAGTAGCCATGTTTTTAGTCTACAGCACAAGCATAAAATAAAACAAATAATAAATTTAAATAATTAAAAAGCAGTAGGTAGGACAGGTAGGTACTAAGTGTCTAGGTGCCTAGATTTATAAGCCAATTTTGTAGATTATTAATTTATCTTAATAAATAATAATATGTTCTGTAAATGTTTGACCTTAAAGAACTTTTTTTTTAAACTAAAGTACTGAAGCAGTAGAAAGTATAAAAGCGATAAGCATTCAATTGCTTTTTAAAAATAATATTG